ATTTAGGCAAGATGCTTCCCATCCAGTGGATCCTGGTGCCCATTGTCCCCACCCAAAGAAACCTGTTGCTCAGTGTATTGAATCCTGGCACCAAGGGGCCCTGGCTGGTAAGGCATCTGCAGCCCTATTCCCCCAACCTGTGGGCCAGGGCTCATGCTCTCTCTCTTCTCTCCAGCTAAAACTTCTGGTGATGACACCCATCCCCTCCTCCAGAAGCATCGTCGAGAGGAAGTGGTGAGGCGGAAGGAGAGATATCAGTGAGTGGCGGGTAAAAGGGGTGGGTTGGGGGATCTTTTTCCCACAAATGAGGGTGGGCAGGAGAAGTGAAGGAAAGGGAGGTGCAGGAGGATTGCAGGACTCCTTGGGATGTCTCTTGGGACTTTTATTCAGAGAAGGATGAGAGGAGCTAAAGCAAGTTCCTCCAACTATACACCTGTTGATTGGGATATTAGCAATGAGGCAACATTACCAAGAGCAGCCACCCACAACAGAGAATACATAGACATATTCACTAGGGCTGTGCCAAGCTTTGGTCCCTGATTCAACTAGGTGGAGATTTGGCTTGATTTGGTGGCCAAATCTCTGAATTCAAATTGAATCAGGAGACCCTTTAATCTCTCCAAATTGAATTGAAACCCTCTGAATTGATTCGGAGAGATTCGGAAAGATTCAGCGATTCGGAAATAGTCACAGCTTTAAATGTTTTTTCTACATACCTCTCGGTAGCAGGCAGCTTGTGAGTGCTGCAATGCTGGGGCAGATGGAGTGTCCCACAGGAGTGTTGGGGGCTCCCCAGCATGCTTTGCAGCAGACCTGGAAGTGGACCAGAAGCACTTCTGGTCCACTTCCAGGTCCACCGGGGAGTGCGCTGGGGCCCTCCCCTTGCCCCCTAGACTCGGTGACTGGTGACTCCTGGGTCTGGGGAGGCACCCAGGGTCCCCCCATGACTGATCACTGAACTGGGGACCATGGTGGGGGGGGCCACCAGTGTGCTCCCCGGCAGACCCTGAAGTGGGTCAGAAGTATTTCCGGTCCAATTCCGGGTTCACTGCCGAGCATGCGGGGGGCCCTCCTGCACTCCTGTGGGACGCTTTATCCGCCCCAGCATCACAGCATTCATGAGCCGTGCCTGGTACCTCGAGAAAAAACATTTAAAACTGTGTCTGTGTCCGAATCACTGATTCTCTGAATCAGCGTCGAATCTTCAGATTCAAACTTGGCTGAATCAAATCAGGGACAGTGATCCGAATCAATGAATTGAATCACTGTCCCCAATTCGAGCTGAATCTGAATTGAATATGGCCCGTTTCACACACCGCTAATACTCACTACTGAGTGGCACGGTCTCAGGGCTCTCAGAATCTGTCCTCATGGTTTAAAATGAGTCCCAGATTCTCACCCCTATGTCTTTGTGTGGAGGAGTTTTATACCGCTCAAGTTCAAATTTATGTATTTCCATTCCTTTTCTCTGAGAGAATTATCTCTTAGTCAAGGGAGCAGGGAAACCGAGTCATGACTTGTGACCATTGCTCTTTCCTGGGGTTGCCTCATTGGCAGTGGGTATGATCACTGGCCTATGCATTTCTGCTTCCTGAAAACTGTTCCTCACCATCCAGTGTCTCACATGCTAATCGTTGTGATTCAGACTGAGCTGCTTCTGGGATCAGAGTATCTGGGAGGAGGGGAGATGTAGGACACCCGAGGGGAGAAGTAGGACACCCCCAGTGCTGCAACAGGGGTAGGAAGGTGGCGGGGCTCATAACTCCTCAGCACTGGGATTGATGCCCAGCTCTGCCCCAGATTTGAGTGTGACCTGAGGTGAATCACTGCATTTCTCTGGTCTTGGTGCCCCACCAGATGCTTTGTGCAACTAGGTTGTGAGCCTGAGGCCAGGAACTGTCCCTACATAGCAGGTAGCCAAGTGGGGCCCTGATCTCAGCTGGGGTTCGTGCAGTGCCTGGCACACTATAAAAAGCTGTATTCCTTCCACCTTTCTTCTCTATGGTGGGATGAGCAGGGCAAGATCTAACAGGGGTGCTCTTTGCATATAAAGGTATATGCAACCTTTGTATGTTTGAGGGAATGCCCCCCAGCAGCTTTTTTGAATTTAGCAGCAACCTCTGTGGATACAGGAAGAATAAACCCCTCCTTTTCCCTGTGCCGGAGAGACAACCCTTTGCCTCAGTGCATGAAGTCCAGGTACACCCCAGTTGAGAACTGCTGGGCCCATCTACATGTTCATTAATTCACAGTAGTTACTGTGCATTTAATTTAGTACTTATGTAATCAAGGACTAAATAAATGTGCAGTAACTAGAGTTACTGTGCAGTAGGGCTGGTAAACACTTTTTTAGTGATGCTACTGTACAGTAGCCTAATAATACTGCACGGAGGCATATTACCATGGTTTGTGCTATGACGTGCTACTGCACAGTGTCTTATATAGACGCACCCACTGTTGGACCATAAAAGGAGAAGCCCTGACACATATCATTATGAAATGTGGATAGTTGTTCACAGTGGGCACATCTATACATGAAATTAATTTGATGCAATAAACTCCAGCACAGTGTACGCCAGAGTTTATTGCTCCCAGGTGCAGTGTTTACAAGTGTGCCCAGGACTGCAGCATGTTGACCTGGGGTGGTGCAGCCTCAGCTAGCAGGGGCTCTGGGGGGTCAGCTTGCCAGCCTGGAGCTTCTCTGACCTGGCTCAACGTGCTGTGGAGGGGCTGGCTGGGGTATGAGAGTGCTACAGTGCAGGGCTTTCTGGCAGGCAGCCCCGCACTGGAGCAATCTGAGGCCTTTGTACATGACACGCTTTTTGCCCTTTTTACTGCTTCAACGGCATGATTGTTTGCATGAGCAGGTTTTTTGGTTGCTTTAAAAATCTTTCTGGTGCATTAAAGTAAAACTCCTTGGACGTAGTTTAGTTTGGCTTGCTGTGAATTAAAGTGTCGCGTCCATGGATTAATTGTGTGCAAACACAAAGGCACTCGAAGACATGCAATGAGCCTCCTTGTCTACCAGATGGCACTGTGACTTTTTAGTAGTTCACCCCTTTGAATTGCTTCTGCTTTTGAATTGTGTCTGCTTTTTTTTTTTCTTGTGCCATTTGCTGGCTCTGTGTTCCCACAGCTGTGTGGCATAGCACAGAGTGGGGGGCCCCAGGCCAGGAGGCCAGTGCTGGATTGTCCCGCTCTCCTGCAGCGCCAGCTGGGCACTGGGCTTAATTTGTTCGAAAATCAAGTGTGTACAAACACTGATGCAATGTTCCAAAATAAACAAGTTTAAACTTTATAAACCTATTTAATTGAATGAGGATTAAACTCTGTGGTGTGTACAGGTACCCCTGGTGCTCCAGCTAGTCCCGGTCACCATCTACAAGTGCATTGCAGCAGAGTAAATGAATCCACTATAGAATAGTACTTGTGTTGGGCAGTACTGTCCTACAGTGGAGTTAATTAGTTTTTCTGGCCTCATAGCACTGCTCAAGTAGACAGTGACACTTTACTACAGAGCTAATTAGGCAACTCCACAGTAAGCATCTCATGTAGATGCACCCAGTAAATTACACTTAGCTCTTGATTTCTTTCGTAAAGCCTGCTGAGGTTTTTTCCCCTCCATGCACTTGCTGCAACACCTCCCAGACAAGAAGATTGTTCTTTATTATTGGTGATGTTTGTATCCAAATTCTGCTTATCTTTAGGTTGTCATTTCATAGTCACTGCCATGTGGAAATGCCCTCCCCAAGCCTCTGTTTTCAGGAGATGCAAGTGGGGTTGGACAAGGAAGAGGCAGCAGCAGGAGGGGGCACTCCTGCCTGCATTATGCTCCTGCCACATGTTACATATATTATGGAATTAACTGGTAAATTGTGCAACAAATGTAGACCCACCACATATGCAAAGAAAGACTGGCCCCACGTACAAAAGACTTATCTCACAATCCACTGTTTAATTGCACAATAAATTTAGACCAGCCACATGCACAAAGTAATTATCATGCCATAAAAATGTCTGCCCAGCTATAAAAAGAGCCAGCCATCTACAAAGGGCTTTCAAGAAGGGGAGGAAGGAGGACCCGGGCAACTATAGGCCAGTCAGTCTCACCTCCATCCTTGGCAAAGTCTTTGAAAAAATTATCAAGACTCACATTTGCGAGAGCCCGGCAGGACAAATTATGCTGAGGGGAAACCAGCACGGGTTCGTGGCAGGCAGATCGTGCCTGACCAATCTAGTCTCTTTTTATGACCAGGTTACGAAACGCCTGGACACAGGAGGAGGGGTGGATGTCGTGTACTTAGACTTCAGGAAGGCCTTCGATACGGTATCCCACCCCACACTGGTGAACAAGTTAAGAGGCTGTGACTTGGATGACTACACAGTCCGGTGGGTGGCGAATTGGCTAGAGGGTCGCACCCAGAGAGTCGTGGTGGATGGGTCGGTTTCGACCTGGAAGGGTGTGGGCAGTGGGGTCCCGCAGGGCTCGGTCCTTGGACCGATACTCTTTAATGTCTTCATCAGCGACTTGGACGAGGGAGTGAAATGTACTCTGTCCAACTTTGCAGATGACACAAAGCTATGGGGAGAAGTGGACACGCCGGAGGGCAGGGAACAGCTGCAAGCAGACCTGGACAGGTTAGACAAGTGGGCAGAAAACAACAGAATGCAATTCAAAAAGGAGAAATGCAAAGTACTGCACCTCGGGAGGAAAAATGTCCAGCATGCCTACAGCCTAGGGAATGACCTGCTGGGTGGCACGGAAGTGGAAAGGGATCTCGGAGTCCTAGTGGCCTCCAAGATGAACATGAGTC